TTTTTTTTTTGAGATGGAGTCTCACTCTGTTGCTACCCAGTGGCACAATCTCAGCTCACTGCAACCTCCACCTCCCGTCAACCTAATTTCTAGTGAAGAAAACATTTTGCAAGTGCAAAAAGACACCCTCATGCCTTCTTACCGAATTATATTTTTAAATTTTCCCTTTACAAAATAGTGGGGCAGCCCTTAATGTGCAGAAGCTGGCCTAGCACTCATAGCTGGGTCTGGGTGTAACTCTTATTGTCAATCACTGTACAGGACATCAAAACCAGACAAGGACATCCTTTGAGCATAATGGATCAAGACAAGAATAAGAGCACAGCATAGTCATGTCTTAACATAGACACAAGCAAGACCACTGTCCAAATTGGAAAATGGCCAAATATCTCCCATCTAGGGTAACAGGAAAGACTGATGATTATTTACCAATTACAATCATAGCCTTTCCTATAGACGAAATGTTGGTGTCACCCTAAAATTCATATATTAATGTCCCAATTTTTTTTTTGAGACAGAGTCTCTCTCTGTCACTCAGGCCAGAGTGCAGTGGTACGATCTCAGCTCACTGTAACCTCCACCTGCCGAGTTCAAGCAATTCTTCCACCTCAGCCTCCAAGGTAGCTGGAACTACAGGCATGCACCCCCATGCCTGGATAATTTTTTTGTATTTTTAGTAGAGACGGGGTTTCACCATGCTGGCCAGGCTTGTCTCGAACTCCTGACCTTGTGATCTGCCCGATTTGGCCTCCCAAAGTGCTGGGATTACAGGCGTGGGCCACCATGCCTGGCCAATGGGCTGATGTCCTAATTTTTAATGTGATGATATTTGGAGATGAGACCTTTGGGAGGCAATGAGATTTAGGTGAGCTCATGGAAGTGGAACACTCATGCTGGGATTATGGCACTTATAGGAATGAGGAAGGGACCAGAGCTCTCTCTCCCCCATGTGAGGCTATAGTGAGAAGACAGTCATCTGTGAACCAGGAGGAGGCAACCTCACTATGAAGCTAATTGTACTGACATTCATATTTTGGTCTTCCAGCCTCCAGAACTATGAGAAATAGATGTTTGTTTTTTAAGCTACCTAGTCTGTGATCTTTCTTTCTTTTTTTGAGACAGAGTCTTGCTCTGTTGCCCAGGCTGGAATGAAGTGGCATGATCTCAGCTCACTGCAACCTCCACCTCCTGGGTTCAACAGTTCTCCTGTCTCAGCCTCCTGAGTAGCTGGGATTACAGGCACCCACCACCACCCACAGCTAATTTTTTTTTTTTTGTAGTTTTAATAGAGATGGGGTTTCACCATTTTGGCCAGGCTGGTCTCAAACTCCTGACCTCAAGTGATCTGCCCACCTCAGCCTCCCAAAGCGCAGTCTGTGATAGTTCTTATTCTAGCCCAAACTGACTAAGGTAGCTTTGGTCTAGTTTTTTCTCCTTCTTGATTAGATGTATTAAGATCCAGTGTTAGAATTATCCTGACTTCCTGACATCCAAAGAAACAAACACTGCTTTTTAAAAAGTTTCCCTGAATCACCTAACACAAGCCCAAATCCTACAATAAGCCAGTTCTAATACTCTCTTACTGATACACTCCATGGTGTTCATGGTTCCTCACTGCAATGAGTAATAACCCAACTACACATCTACTCCTGGTACTTTGTGATCTTTGGCCAGAGACACTGACATGTTTATTGACTTGGTCAATGTTGACACTTGTTTCCTCAGAGCTGTTCCAGGATTTGGATTTTATTGATGGCTTTTTGTTCATTGATGGCAGTTAGGGTTAGTGATATGAGGTGGGCTTGCATCCCCTGCTCACTGCTGACCGGGGGTCTATGTCTGACTCTTTGGAAAGCATCAGCCTTGCACTGTTTCCTTACTGTCCTCCAGTCCAGCCAGAGGAACACAGGCTGGGCACGATGGCTCATGCCTGTAATTCCAGCACTTTGGGGGACTGAGGTGGACAGATCACCGGAGGTCAGGAGTTCAAAACCAGCTTGATCAACATGAAACCTCATCTTACTAAAAGTACAAAAATTAGCCGGACGTGGTGGCACGTGCCTGTAATCCCAGCTACTTGGGAGGCTGAGGCAGGAGAATCGCTTGAACCGGGGAGGTGGAGGTTGCAGTGAGCCGAGATCGTTCCACTGCACTCCAGCCTAGATGACAGAGTGAGACTCCATCTCAAAAAAATAAAAAATAAAAAAATAATAAGTGGTGGAGGCTATTTCCCTACCTTCTTTCTAATTCACACTGCTAAGCTGCTCCTGAGGGGGCGTCCCTTGTCCGTCTTTTTCTTAGGGATGCTTCTGCTTCCTGCAGCAACCCCTGCGTGTGTCTGCTTCTCTCACTTTGCAGGAGCTCTGAGCAGCCTGTACGTGTGCATCCGTGCTGCCTGATACCAGGAAGAGTTATAGTCTGTTCTCTTCTAGAGATGGAAGAGGAATGTGTGTTTGATTTGAATGCAGGAAATACGTTTGTCCCCACGTGCTGAAAGGTTTTGTTGTCAAACTTCCCTGTAGTGTAGTGCCAGGGGAAACCTTCTTCTTTCTCTGCAGCAGTTCGTGGGATGATGCCTTTTTTACCAGCGTCCCATCCAATACTGAGCAAGCCAAGAGAGAACCTCCTGTGATCCTCAACACAGGAGAAGGGAATGAGCTAATAACGTTCTCCACTGCCGGAACCAACTTCTATGGGGATTTGCAGAGGCTGTAATTCATAATCTGGCCACAAGAGGGAGTCATAACCCTTCATTTTCCAGTCCTTTCAAACTAAAGATCAAGTCAAACCTCGTGTGAGACCTGTGCAAATAGCTGGAAATAGTTTCAGTTAATTGGAGAACGCTGTTAGTGAGCGTTTAGTATTAATTGATTATTGTTCTGAGTGCTTTACCCACAACAGATCTTTTGAACCTTATGAGAATGGAAGAGACCAAAAATACATCACCCCAAAATACAGCTGTAGGAGACCAAAATACGCCACCCCAAAATGTGCCTTTTTGGCATAAAGATTATTTTGAGAGCCTACAGACACAGGAGACACTCTGAGAATGGAGGAAGAAGTTACCCTTTTTAAAGGGAAAATCACATCTACAAAGGACTCTCCGATGGTAAGGAGGTCTCCCTCTGTACCAGGAGGAGAAGGTGACTCACTCACCAGCCTCTCATCAAGGGAGGAGGCACCCACGTGACCTGCAAAACAAGCCTCGCTCCTCTTTCCCAGTGTGTTTCCCGACCTCACCTTCCAGTAACTGGCCTGCCCACACCCTTCTTTCTTTGTTTCCGCAGAAGATGCTATTTAAGCCTGAATTCGAAGCTGCCTCTTTGAAATCTACTCTTTTCCCCTGGCTATCTCTCATGTACACATGAGGTATACAGGTTGTTAACCTCTGCTTTTTTTTTTTTTTTTTTTTAATTAAACGTTTGTTACTTGAGTTCTTCCCAATGAAGGACTTGAAGTCATGTCATTCATAGTTTCAAAAAATTTTCTTCTTATTTCTAAGGGAAACTTAAACTCCCCACTATCCTTAAAAAAAAAGAAGAAGAAGTATATCAGAAGAGACAGGAGAATCTCTTGAACCGGGAAGCAGAGGTTGTGGTGAGCTGAGATCACACCACTCTGCATTCCAGCCTGGGCAACAGAGTGAGACTCCATCTCAAAAACAAACAAACGAACAAAACCTCTATACAGTCTTGTGCAAATATGTTCACAGCAGCTATATTCAGAGTCACCAAAACCAAAACAGACTAAATATCCATGAACAGAAAAAAGCGGGTAAACAAACTGTGATGTGCTTGTGCAATGTCGTCCTACTCAGCAGTAAAGAGGAGCAGATGCTGACACACACAATATGGACCAGTCTCAAAACACAGAACACGGAGTGAAAAACGAAAGACACAAGAGTCCATATGGGGCGATGCCAATTATCTGAAGTTCAAGGACACGGAAAGTAACTAATGGTGACAGGAACCAGAAAATGGTGGCTCTCAGGGCTGAGGATTGACTGGTAAGGGCACCAGGAGCTTTCTGGAGTGATGAAAAATTTCTCTGTCTTTGGGGAGCTGGTGATACAGAGGTGCCCATTTGACAGAGCTCATGGTACCGCACATGTGGGATCTGCATGTTTTGTGGTAGGTAAATTTGCCTCAACTGAAAAGCTAATGCTATTTTTAAATTTCAAGAAAAAACAATGAAATAAACAACCTACAATTTAAAAAAAATTTAAAAATTTTTGGGAAAACAAAGACATATCCATTTGAGGCAGGGGTCCCTGGCCTTTACCCGCTCAATGCACCTGTCACATCCAGGAGACTCTGGGATACTGCTGCACCCTCTTCAGGAAAAAACAAATCCCCTGAGGAATATTGTTTCCTGCAAACTTATGCCAAAAGGTGCCCACCCTGCTGGTTGCTTAACTCAGTGCTGGATGAGAGAAGAGTCTCAGAATCGGGTGGGCTTTAAATTCCATCCCTGCCCTGAGTAGCCCAGCAGCCTTGAGACGGCCTCAGTGAGGTTTCCACACCCGAATGCACCATGGAGCTATCAAGTCAGCATGATTAGCACACCCATCTGTACCAATATCCATCTTTTGTGTGAAAACATTTACAATCTTTCCTTAGCTCTTTGAAAATATTCAGTGCATGATTCTGTCATTTGAGACAACACGGACTAACCTAGGGGACGTTATGTTGTATGAAATGAGCCAGGCTCAGAGAGTGTTTCATGACCTCACCTATATGTGGAATCTCAAATAGTCAACCTCAGAGACGTAGAGAGCAGAATGGTGGGTAGCAGAAGCTGGGGGCAGGGAGGGCGAAGGTGGCCTGGGAAAGGGGAGATATTGGTCCTAGTTTCAGTTCAACAGGAAGAGGGAGCCCTGGTGACCTTCTGCACAGCATGGGGCTCTAGGAGGCTGTTAATTTGATAAGAATCAGCTTCTGACTTATCCTTTGCCTGGAGGGACCGTGACCCCCCAACCAGGGCTGAGTCTCTGCAGTTTCTCACTTGCGGATCTCGATCTCTGAGTATTCACTGTCAGTGGCCTCCTGTCCCTGCAGTTTCTGAGGTCTGACCTTATGGAAGCTGAGGGATGCATACTGGAGCTCTTCTTCCTCCCCTGAGGAGGGGGTGGCTGTGTCTGGGAGAGGCTGCTTTGGGGGGCTGCCATCTGTCCAGGTTTCAGTCAGGGGGCCCTGAACAGAGAGAGAGAGAAGGGAGTCAAAGCAGAGGAGTGGGGCCAGGATGGGGTGGGGGAGAGTCCAGCAAGGAGACAGGAGATCCGTCCTCCATTCATTGCACCTGCATTTTTGCTGAAGTCTCTTTCATGCTTTCCTCCAATGTTTAATACTTACTGAGCACCTCATTTGGTGTTTACTAATCTCATTAACTTCCCAAAACAATATCATGAAGAATATGTTATTATTATCTCCACTGTATACATTAAAAAACAGGTAGAAGTGCCTGCAATCCCAGCTACTCAGGAGGCTGTGGCAAGAGAATCGCTTGAACCAGGGATTCGGAGGTTGTAGTGAGCCGAGATCGCACCAGTGCATTCCAGCCTGGTGACAGAGTGAAACTCTGTGTCAAAAAGAAAACAAAAAACAAAACAAAACAAAAACCAGGTAGAAACAGTAAGCACTGCAGCCAAACTTCCTGTTACACCAGGACCCAGTCCAGTCTGTTCCTTCTGACTCCAAATCCTGGAGTCCTGCTGAGGTCCCCTGTGTGTGAGGCCCTGAGCTGGTGCTGGCTGGACCATGGTGGACACGGTAGGCGTGGGTCCTGTCCTCCTGCAGTTCACTCTTTAATTGAGGGAGGTGACAAAAAATGACTGTCTAGCAAATGAATATCTATGTGTGAACTATGTTAAGATGAACAGGAAGAGGGCCACTAAGAGAAAATTACAGGGCCTTGATCTGGGTTTGTCACCTGCCCTTGGGAAGCTCCCAGTTTGGTGGTGTGGGGAGGACAAGTCAGTCAAAGAGATTATACCCCTCTCACAGGGAGAATAACGACCCCTCCAAAATGTCCATGCCTCACTCTCCTGAAACCTGTGGATCTGTTACCTTACATGGCAAAAGCGACTTTACAGATGGAATCAGGTTAAGGATATTGAAATGGGGAGGTTATTCCGGATTATTTGGTTGTGCCCAATGGAGTCACAGGAGTTCTGCCAAGTGAATGGAGGAGGGCATAGAGAGATTGGAAGATGCCAGGCTGCTTGCCTTGCAGACTGAGGGAGGGACCTGAGCCAAGGAATGCAGGCGCCTCTAGAAGCCAGAAAGCGTGCTACAGGCACTTAAAAAACTGTAGCACTTGAAAAATTACTGTTTGGACAGCCTCAAGGATTTTCTTTTTCTCTTTCAGCTCAACAAACACTGGCCTCAAAATAAACAATATTAAAACAATTTGCTGTTCATCCACTGCCAGATGCTAACTGACCTCCCTGTTCCACCAGCCATAACCACAGCTTTAATTAAGCAAAAGACTAATTTCACCTACTTTCTCCTAAGAAAACAACCATAGGCTAATTTTGCCAGTTTACAGAGACTACTCACTTAAATACCTCTGCATCCCTGCTTCACCTCTTGACATAGATGGCTTCATTATAATGTGATAACCTAACTTGTGCTAGCCTGATTCCATCTTAGCTGTAAGCTCCAGCTCAGCTTCTCCGTCCCTGCCACAGCCCCCACAGGTGCATTACTGAGTCACGCCGTACTCAGATCCTTGAACCATTGAGGTTTGGGTCACGCTGTGCTCAGTACCTGTAACCGTCATAACTACATCCTGCTTGGCAAGCACACCTGCTACTGTGAATGCCCCTTTTGGTAACTGATTGTATGGAAAGTCCCCCCTGCCACCCCTCTTGGTAATTGTATGGAAATACTCTTAGTAACCAGCAACTATGGGAATCTCCTGCCTCCTGGTTACCAGCCTCCTCCTACCAACTTGCTTGTTCTGCTTCTGTAAAATTCTGCTTCAGCTAGGCTCCCCCTCCCCTATCCCAAGCAAGGTATAAAAGGAAATGAAGCCCCTTCTTCAGGGCCAAGAGGTTTTGAGCGTGAGCTGACTCTTGGTTGCTGGCAAATAAAGGACTCGTAATTTGAACTCAGAGTATGGCGCTTCTTCTGTGACTCGCTCAGTTACAACAATAATACATTTAAATATTAAGTCTTCCCCCCAAAATAAACATGAGTTGCTTATAACTTAGGTATTTATCCATCACACATATGCATAACTCCCTTTCAGAAATACTTACAACTCTGCCTGTAAATGTGTAAATATGTATATTTAGCCAAGCCATCCAACATAAAACTGCTCCAACCCCTCCTCCCTCAAAACACCTGATTTTCAACTTTTACCAGAGGTTACACTTCCCAGCTTGCCCAGATGGCCAGTTATAGACTATAGCCCTTTTATTTTTATTTTTTTGAGATAGAATCTTGCTGTGTCATCCAGGCTGGAGTGCAGTGGCACCATCTCGGCTCACTGCAACTCCCCCTCCCAGGTTCAAGCGATTCTTGTGCCTCAGCCTCTTGAGTAGCTGGGGTTACAGGCATATGCCACCATGCCAGGCTAATTGTATATTTTTAGTAGAGATGGGGTTTTGCCATGTTGACCAGGCTGGTCTCCAATGAAATGTTCTGCCCACTTCGGCCTCCCAAAGGGCTGGGATTACAGTTGTGAGCCACTGTGCTCAGCCTCATGTAATATTTTAAAATCAAAATGAGTGCCAAAAAACTCCATGGAAAACAAAAATTTAAATAAGCTCAGGATTTTGAATGTGCTTTGCTGAGCCAATTGGAGCCTGAGGCACAAGTACAATGTCTGTCTCTCTTTATATGGTTTCATGTATGTTTAATGATCAGTTTTATCCAGAACATTAAATAATGGAATTAGTACTGACAAATTGAAAATGGTATATAATGAAACATCATCATTTTAAGTTCAAAGATTTTACATATACCTAAAGCAGAATTTATTATAATCTGCTTTTCTGGCTCTACTGGAAGCAAGGCAGAAATAATATTTTCAAATTCGACTTTGATTCTCTCATTTTCAACTGAGAATGCTGCCCTGCTTGACAATTTATCTTGACTAAGTGATGATCGTAAATAATTCTTAACTCACTTCAGTTTATTGATCCTGTCATTTAAAATATTGATATTGGCTTATCATTCATTTTTAAAAATTAATTTTGATGTTTTAAAAAACAATGCATGAAACTTTGTTTTTCTCAATTATTGAGATTTTTGGCACCCCCCTTAAATGTTGCATTCAAAGCAAGTACCTCATTCTTTTCGCCATAACTCTGGCCCTCCTGGAGAGGTAAGTGCCTAAGAGGCCAGAACATTCAGGGCTGCAGGCTGAGGAGTTTGGGCTTTATCAGGGGTTAGCAAACTAGAGCCCTTGGATTAAATCTGGCCCACTGTTTGTTTTTGTTAATAAAGTTTTATTGGAACACAGTGTGACTCACTATTAGCATGTGGTCTATGGCTGATTTCATTCTACAGCAGCAGAGTTGAGTAGCTGGCACAGCAACTGCATAGTCCACAAAGCCAAAAATACTTACCAACTGGTCATTCAGAAAATGTTTGCTGGCCTCTGATCTAGACAATGGGGATGGAGGACAGCTGTGCAAATGCAGAAGAACTGGGCAGTGATTGCTTCCAGATGATCCCTCCAGATAGGGAAGGGGAGGTAAGAGGCAGGGAGATGACAAGACCCAAGGAAAAGATCCTGAGGCCTCAGCAATGAGAGGATCAGGGTGGACAGAGGTGTTGCTAGCTGTTCTTTGTGGGTCAAATCGACAAGATATGGTGAATTTTCAGCTGTAGGGGAAGACAGGAAGGACAGAGAGGAGGTAACCCTCCTCCATGCCTGGTCAGGGAGGAGGGGCTGCCATGCTGTCAGCAAGATGGGGAATCCTGCAGAAGAAGTCAGCTTGTAGTTAGGAGGAGGAGGTGAGGAGATAACTTTGGCCATGACTAGCTGAGCAATCCTGGGGGCCATCCTGTGGGAGGTGTCTAGGCTGGATGCTGGGTGTGGAGACACCCATATCGCTCACCTGATAGGCTGAGCCCCTGACGGTGTTTGCATCCTTTATGCCTGTATCCCTGATGCCCACTGCTGGCCTTGCTGATTTCTTCCTGCAGGACCTGACTCTGAGTGAAGAGACCAGAGTCTTTCAGTCTGTACAGATCAAGGTGTAGTGGGTGGACCGACCCTCTTCCCTCCCACCCACTGCCATGTTTCCTGTTAAAGGGTTGGATGGGCGACTGAGGTGAGAGAGGGGTGAACCAGTCCCAGGGACCCCAATGTGGAGAACACAGGCTCCAGCCTTCTGGCCAGTGGGGCCTGAGGTTTGCCATAGACTTGCAGCCCCATGAACAAGGGTGCTTGTGAAATTCTCACCGTGCACCCATGACCGCCTTCTTGCCCTTGCTTTAAGCTCTTGACTATGCAAGTCCCTCCAGCTCCGGCTTTAGGGATTCCGTTCCCAGCCCACCCTCCCCCAGGGCTCTCCCTCCCTCCCCAGGGTCATTGCTTACATGATGAAGATGACACAGAAGGACAGGAAGGCCAGGGCTGTGGCTCCAGCTCCCCCGATTGCCCCAGTGTCGCTCCTGACACAGGCCACACAGTGCCTGCAGATGGATTGGAGTTATCTCTGGGGTTTACCTTCAGTAACTGGGTATTTTCACCTCCTGCTGCCTGTAAGGCCCTAGACTTTGATTCTCCTCCCAGCTTTCCCAGACACAAAGAGCAGGAATGGGAAGGAAGAGGATTGCAGACGTCTGGCGAGGCCAATGAGGCATGAGAGTGCTGGGAGCAGTTTTTTTAAATTTAAAATTTTTATTTTTGTTCACCATGGAATTATTTTGCATTATCTTTTACTTTTTAAAAAGGATGATTGTGTCACAATATTATTTCTCTTGCTTGCTGTTTTATTTTTGGTTCTTACAGTTGCTGCCAAGGCAAGTGTGTCATGTGTCTCATCCTAGTCTAAGCGCTGCAAGGCAAAGCACTTGTCTCCCCAGACACACCTGTCCAGGCCCCAGCTCCTCCCCTCCAAGATCCACTCCACCCTTCTCCCCATGCCTACCCCTTTCCTAGCAGGAAGAGGACAGTGATGCTCGGGTCGGAGGGAAGTTCCAGGCCTCACACCTGAGCACAGACCAGAGCTGAGCGTCCCCTTGAAGCTCAGGAGCCAAGAGTGGACATCAGGGCGAGGCAGGTGGGTCCTCCTCCAGCTACTCCCTTACCCACCTGTGTCCTTATTCTGCAGGGAGAGGCCCACGGAGGTATGCTGGGAGCCCCGAAGGTTCTGAGCTCAGTAGGTGAATTCCCCTTCATCCCTCACATGCCCTCGAGGCAGCTTCAGCAGCCCAGGGTTCGAGGGCTGTGAGGGGCCCAGGGTCAGGATTCCCCGGGTCCAGCTCAGCCTGGCAGGGGGATTGCTGTCAACAGCACAGACCAGGTGCAGAGACTGGCCCTCCAGGACTGAAAGAGATGAGCCATTCCTCAGGGCTGTGGATGCTGTAGAGAAAGGGGTGTGTTCAGGAGGTGGATAATCAGGACCCTCCAGGCTGGTCCTGCTGTCTCTGCCTCACCCTTGCCTCTGGGCAACATTTTCTGCAAGGTGAAACTGGGTCCATCTGGCCAGTCCCCGAGTCTCCTTTGTGGCTGTCACTGTTTGTGGAGGTCAGACCTGCCAAAGGTGGGACTCAGGGCCATGAGAGACAGGACTGCAGGTGGGGTGAGCTGGCAGCCTCTCCTCCCTCCCTCAGCAGCCACAAGGTGGGCACCCCCCTTCTGCACAAGGAGGTCAACATTGCACAGCCGGACGCAGTCCCCAAGGAGTCACTGTGCAGAGGGGAGACACTGAGACTCCTGACATCTGAGCTCCCCATGTCAGGAGCTTCAGTGGGGGTACAGACAGGGTGGGGTTGCTCTCCCCTAGGTTAAGTGTTCAGTCTCAGGAGGATTCAGCTGTGGGACACAGGGCTGTGGAGGTGAGGATTCCTCATGTTGATACACACCAAAGACATGGAGCAGAGCCTGGCTCACAGGAAGCCTGGGAAACTGAGGCTGTGACTGTTGAGGCTTGAAAAGGAGAAGGGTCAGAAGAGAAGGGGTCAGTTTGACAAGGGCAGGCACTTCTCCCTTTGTTGTGGTTATCTGGTCATCAGGACGGGTTTTGTCACCACTGATATCTCAGTCAACCAGAGTACCCCTGGTGACTCCACAGCAGGAGGGGCCTACCAGCCCCAGAGCTTTGCTCCTGCAGGCTCTACTCCCAGGGGTCCAGGTGAACAGGAGCCCTGGAGCAAGGACACCAGCCCTGGGGTGTCCACACTCAACGCTGGGAAGGATTATTTTGAAGAAATGTACACCTGAATGAAACAGAAGATTATATTTAACTGTGTAGCTGTTGGCTGGGAGGAAGTGGTGGGGGACCCTGGGAGGTGGAACCTCCTTAGACCCATGTCAGTTTTCTTGTAACATTTCTTTTCAGGGAAATAGAAGATGTAGATAAAACTGACCCCAAGAGAACATCTCAGGCAAGGCATGGTGCTCACACCTGTAACCCCAGCACTTTGGGAGGCTGAGATGGGTGGATCACCTGAGGTCAGGAGTTTGAGACCAGCCTGGCCGATATAATGAAACCCCATCTCTATGAAAAATGCAAAAATTAGCCAGGCGTGGTGGGGCACCTGTAATCCCAGCTGCTCAGGAAGCTGAGACAGGAGAATCACTTGAACCTGGGAGGCAGAGGTTGCAGTGAGCCGAGATTGCGCCACTGCATTCCAGCCTGGGTGATAGAGAGAGACTCCATCTTAAAAAAAGGACAGGACATCTCAGTGATTTACACATATGAACACCCTTAGAGAAATAGAACATTAATAGCACTCAGGACTGCCCATGTGTTCCCCCTTCCTATCAGTCGTGCCCCACTCCCTCCTGAAGGTGTCCCTAGTCTCACTTGAATGCTGATTTTCTCCTTGCTTTGCTACATAGTTTTATCATCTGTTTGCAGTGCCTTGAATACTATAGTGTTGCATAGGTTTTTCTGAAGACGTTGTATACATAAACAATTACAGTCTGTTTTCTTCCACGTAATTTCATGCATCTGTACATTTCATGTTGTCCCCCAATTGCCCATGACCTGGAGTAGATCAGCTGTGACAATCGAGAAGGGCAGGTGCAGGGCTTGGGTGCGCATAGTTGACTCACACCCTTATCACCAATACTTGTATTTGCAGCTGATATCTGCTGCCACTTCCCCATCCTGTGCCACCTATCCTTACCAATCACTCTCTCCTAGTAGAGGCAGCTACAGCATCTCTGTGGTCAGCAAGGCTGAGCCATGGCCCTTGTGTTTCCCATGGTCCTCAATTTACAAAGAAAAGCAGAAAAACGGCTAGGGGTGGTGGCTCATGCCTGTAATCCCAGCACTTTGAGAGGCTGAGGCGGGCGGATCACAAGGTCAAGAGATCAAGACCATCCTGGCCAACATGGTGAAACCTCGTCTCTACTAAAAATACAAAAATTAGCTGGACGTAGTGGTGGGTGCCTATAGTCCCAGCTACCCAAGAGGCTGAGACAGGATAATCACTCGAACTCAGGAGGCAGGGGTTGCAGTGAGCCGAGGTTGCACCATTGCACTCCAGCCTGGGCAACAAGAGTGAAACTCCATCTCAGAAAAAAAAAAAAAAAAAGAAGAAGAAAGAAAGAAAAGCAGAAAAGCGGAAAGTAGAAAAAAGAGAAAGTTGCAGAGACTCTAAGCATGAAACAGGTTCTAATAACCCACTTATAACCTGGAAGACCTGGGAGGCCCCTGTATGTATCCCCACTTCTTCATTTTGTAGAAGACACCAGGGTTCAGTGTCAAGTGCCATGATCTAAATATTTGTGTCCTTTTCCAATTAAATCTTCACCTCTAGCGTGATGGTATTCGAAGATGGTGGAGTTCTCTTAAATAGGATTAGTGCACTTGTAAAGGAGACCCCAAGGAGCTCGCATGGCCTTCCACCATGCGAGAACACAGTGAGAAGGCATCATCTATGAAAAAGCAGGACCTCACCAGGTACCAATCTCCTGGCACTTTGATCTTGGAATTCCCAGCTTATGCACTGTGAGACATAAATTTCTGTTGCTTATAAGCCAGCCAGTTTATGGTATTTCGTTGTAGAAGCCTGAATGGGCTGAGAGAGCAAGTGTATTGCCCAAATCACACAGGTGCCTTGTCTCCTGCCCGAGTGTCTGATCAGGAGCCACTTCATCAATCTTGTCTGCCCAGGACAGACTAGGCTAGGACAGGGAAAGCTGATGTTAATTTGAGAGGGAAGAACTGCCAAGTCGCTCACATGAGATGAGGAAAGAAATTTCATTCATTCATTCATTCATTCATTCATTCTGCATTTAGGTCAAGAGCACTGCACTGTGCCTTGAGATATCCAGCAAAGAGTGAACAAGACAGGACCAGTCCTTGCCTTTGAGGAGCGAAACATTGGGTTGGGAGACAGACAAGTCACCTGATGTTTCTGATGCCAGAGGGTAGGTGGTTGTGAAGCGGGAAGCAGACTGGGAATAGGGAGGATCTTGCTCTTTGGAGGTGGAAGTGAATTCTCGGGAAGGAATGGGCAGCGTGGACATGGTTGGAATTTTCAGGCAGCCATGGGAATGTGAATTCCCTGGAGCTCTGGAATCCCTGGACTCTCAGGTACTGTGTTTCCATTCCTTTCGCCCTCCCACTGTACTGGAAACCATCAGCCAGCCAGCTACAAAGTTCTGACTTCTGCATGTGACCAACCCCAGCAGGAGACAGGACACTGTCCCTAGGGGGCGCTCCCTCTTCCCAGGACAGGCTCTGGCTCCTGGTGTTGCCCAGGCAACGACGGTGGTGGTGTCCGTGGTGCTGATGCAGAGCAGAGCCCTGATCTTGGAGATGTCTGCAGCCCTGTGGAGGGACCTGACCACACAGAACAGGGTCCTAGGTGAGAGTCAGTTACTCAAGACGTCAGGTGTCCTGGAGAGAGCCTGGGTCCACCTTGGAGGAGGCACACAGAGGAGGGACAGCCTTTGTTTCTTGTCCTTCTGTCCTCCTTCAGGAATGGTCTATGGACAAGGCCAGGCTGTGACTCCTGGTCAGACATTGGAGCAGAAGACAGGGCACCTGTGTGCTTTTGGCAATTCCCTTGCTCTTTTAGTCCATTCGGGTTTCTATAACAAGATACCTTCACTGCTCCGAGGGTAGATAAGGTGAAGTCTCTGAGCTGCCCTCTATATACAGGTTTCCATCTCATCCTCGAACACCCCTGAGTATCAGATGCCTTTTTTCTCCCGACAGAGATCTGTACCTGTGTCTCCCCTCTGTGTATTTCTGACATCCAGAAGCAGGTTCTGGCCTGGGGTCTGAAGCAGGTGGAATCAACCCTGGGTCTCCTCCTGCTCTTTTCCACCTAGGTTGCTTCTGGCCTCTTGAGGATCCTGATGGAAATTGTCCCCTTTCTGGGACAGTAGCCGTGGACAGGGCTAGAGTCATACAGGGACCCATGGGGGTAGAAGATGGAGCAATGCGCAGTCACAGAGACCCTCCTGTACCGTCACTGACTCTGGCACTTCCAGCCGGAATCTCATATCCTGAGCCAGGGCCCCTGTGGGGAAACAAGGGTCAACCCAGCTTAGCCCCACGGCCCCTCCCCCCGAGGCCCACTCTTCTGCCCACAGCAGGGGCAGCAGCAGCTGCAGTGTGAGCCTCTTTAGGGTGGGAGTCACAGAGCCTTGGTGTCACAGGGCCCTAGAGGAGGCCCCAAAGGAAGCCTAGGGGTAAGATCAGAAAAATAACTGACCACAAAAGGGGACCTTTGCCTCACGCTGCCAGAGCTATCAGGGCTCTTGAGGAGTGGCCAATCTACTTTCCAGACAGGGTCTTCGGTGGGGGCTGCACGCAGCAGGGAGGCCCCAAACCACAGCTGTGGGCTCTGTGCCCACAGCCTTTCCCTCCCACGCCACTGTTCACACCCAGGGAAGCAGGCACTGCCTGGCCATTACAGCTTCTAGGTTCCTGGGAGGGTTGGTCCTGCCAGGGCTGGGACTCAGGAAGGACGGGCGGAGGAACCAAGAGGCATGAGAGATGGAGAGGGGTTCCCTGAGGTGGGGGAGGTGATGTTTAATGAATGAGCACAACAACCACACCAGGAGCATCTCCTCCTTTTGGGGGATAGAGACAAAGGGGAGAGTGTGACAGACTCTGTCTCCTTCCTTGGGAAGTTCCCTAATGAACGACGGGGCAGAGGAGCCCTGGACCACCCCAGCTCCTATTAGTAAGGGGCCTGGTGCTGGAAACACAGGCAGGGCTTGTGGAACCAAGGGCCCTGTGCAGCTAGAAGGTTCGGTCTCAGGTATACAGGGGCAGAATGGAGGGCACCAGGACTCTGAGGGGCCATGAGCATGTGGTCCCACAGGTGGTCCTGGGCCTTCCTAACCTACTTAGTGCCCCCTGACCCAGCATTCCTGGAGGTGACTGTACAGCCCAGGCCCTGGGAGCCCAGTATGGGGAATAAGGCTGAGCCCAAGATGCTGGGGGAGGCCCTGGCTCTGGAGTGTGAGGGTCCTCGTCCCTCTCCCTCCAAGTCTCAGTCTCCTCATCTATCCCATGGAGGGATCACAGCACCCTCCCCTCGGCATAAGGGAGAACCCAGCATGTGGAAGTAATGTTCTCTGCAGACTCAGGTGTGGCCAACATGCTCTGTGTTCCTGGGCAGGCCCTGAGCATCTACATGTCCAGCCCTAATCATCCTCAAGGGTCACTCGGAGTCCTGTCCTCAGTAAGGAGCTCCTGGTGGTCCCCACTGCCCTGGGCATTCCTCATCTGAGTCCTCACAGAGAGAGGTCAGGGGCATAAGCTCAGTAGCCGGTTGGCTGCTGGCTTGAGCTGGGCTCTGTAAAACCTATGGTGCTGTCTTGGGAAGGGGCTTACCCGCTCTGTGCATTATTGGATGTCCACACTTATGGGTGCCAGGGATGAACTGTGTGCCCTACAAATTCCTATGCTGATGTCCTTACCCCTAGCACCTCAGAATGTGACCATATTTAGAGACGGGGACTTATAAAAAGGCGACTAAGTTAAAATGAAGTCGTTAGGGTGGGCTGTCATTCTACATGAGTTGTGTCTTTATTAGAAGGGATTTTAAGGGGTAGAGTATGATGGCTCAGGCCTGTAATCCCAGCACTTCGGGAGGCCTAGGCAGTCAGATGACTTGAGGTCAGGAGCTGAAGACCAGTCTGGCCAACATGGTGAAACCCCGTCTCTACTAAAAATACAAAAATTAGCCAGACGTGGTGGTGCATGCCTGTTATCCCAGATACTTGGGAGGCTGAGACAGGAGAATCACTTGAACCCGGGAGACCGAGGCTAGATTGAGCCGAGATATCACCACTTCACTCCAGTCTGGGTGACAAAGCAAGGTTCTGTCTCAAAATAAAGAAAGAAAGAAGGGGTGATTAGGACAGAGACATGCTCAGTAGAAAGAGCATGTGGGACACAGAGAGAAGGTGCCACCTGCAAGCCACCCATACGGAGAGGCCTCAGAAGGAAGCAACGCTGACCACAGCTTGGTCTGAGACTTCCGGCCTCCAGAAGGGTGGGAAAACAAATTCGTTGTTGAAGCCACTCGGTCTGTGTTCCTTTCTCAAGGCAGCCCTGGCAAGGGAGTACATGGAGTGGTCGAGAGGATTCCATGTGTTCCTGTGAGCACAGCCTGGTGTGGCCCGTGGTGGACGCAGAGTCACACAGGGGTCTGGGCCAGTCTGTGACATGGGGCCGCTCAGAGGATGGAAGGAGAAAAAGGAAGGGAAGGGTTCCTTACAGAGGACACCTGTCCTGCCCCTGCCCCGCCTCTGACATCTGCAGGGCTGTCCCCTCCCCCGCACACTCACACTCCCTTCCCAGAACGGGGCAGGTCCCTCAGAAGACCATGCCTTCACTGCGCCTGCACCCTGGACAGTTGCCTCCCATTTAAGGGGGGAGCCGCCTGGGGGTCTGGGCTAGGCGAGGCGGACCTGGAGGAGCACCCATCTTGAGCAGGGGAGACAGTGGCAGGCACAGCCTGGTGGGGTCCAGGCTGAGCCAGGGGGGAGGACGGGGCTGTGGGAGCACAGGGAGGGGGTGAGGATCCGCAGGCAGGTGAGACAGGTGAGCCCGGGAGGTGCGAGATGGGCAGGGCTGCCTGAAAAACAAGTTCATCCCGGAGCAGCGAGGAGGGCGCAGCGAAAGGCCATGGGTGAAACATCGGTGAGAAAAACAAAAACAAAACAAACAAACAAAACCAGAGCCGAAACTCTATCTGCAGTGAGCCTGTATCTTAGTGGTGCTGTCACAAAAATATTGAGCAGCAAGAAGTGGTTCGAAAGTGTGCAGTGAGTAAAGTGTGAGAAAATAAAGTAGATTTCATCAAGAGTAACAGAGTCCTCCGGGCTGGAGAGGAGCGTGGTTTCATAAACACGGTGAGCAAAGGCCTCGGGGAGGAGAAAATTGGCGCTCAAACAGCCCTGGCACCGCCCGCTGCTGCTGATTGGCTCAAACCCTTAAGAGTCCTCTGGGCCTGACGTGGGGGGAGGGACTTGCACCTTCTGCTCCTGATTGGCTCTGGCGGCTGCGTGTCGGCTCCCAGAGGCACGTGTTCTTGGGGGAACGCTCCGTCTGCCTGGCTGATGGGCTGCATAGCAGGCACCTGAAGCTGCTGATTGGCTATTAAAGAGGCCTGTACAGCCACTGATTGGCTGTGGGGTGGACGCACAACGTGCGAGGCGCGTGGGCTGGGCCCGGGGCGACAGTGGAGCCCTCACACCGCCAGCTCCACGCCCTGACAGAGGATGCCTGGCCTCACAGCAGTGCCTGGCCTGTGGGCATCCCCGGTAGTCCTCGGCTGCAGGGACCTGTATTGGAACTGCACAAAGTGGGCTTCCAGGAGAGCGGGGCTGCTCTGTCAGTAAGGCGTCCCTCAGATACTTGGAGCATGAGGCAGCCCAGGCAGGTGAGGCCGCCGGGGTCACTCTTAGGCCCGCCAGCCCCCCGAGCCCCTTGCGGGATCCAAGGCCAATTCTGGATCAGGCACCAGGTGAAACCACGGCGCATTCCTCAGCCTCCACCACGCCAGTCACCTGCTCAGCCCGAGGGCAGCCAGCGGTCATCGCCCCAGTGAGGCGGCCCGTGAGGAGCTGAGGCTGGGACCAGCGCAGCGCCCCGCCGGCGAGTCAGCGTCAGTCCCGCGCCAGCCAGTTCCTCAGACAATCAGGTAACGCGCCCCCATGGCCTGCCCTGGCCAGCAGTTAGCTAAGCTCATGCCAGTCAGCCTCTTAGGAGGTCGGTCCCCTGTAAGGCACCCGGTCATTAGTCGCATGATTACCGTCTGTCTAGACCAGCTAATCGGGCTCACGCTGTGTCACTGAGTTCCCTGGAAACCCAGCCTTTATGTCAGTCATCCATAACCCAATCACTGATTGGCTGCAGCCCCCACCCACCCCTTGGCCCCTTTGGCCTCAGACATGTTCTTCATCCTCTCTGCTCCGGGGTCTAAGGAAATCCGGGGTCTAAGGAAAACCTTTTCACTAATCATCTCTTCCCTCCGCCTCCCCTCCCCTTCCCCTCCTCTTTGCATGAGCTCTGCATCTAACATACTAGGTGCTCATTACATACTCATACTTACTTTAAGAAATGTAAGGAAATTTAGAATAAGGAAAACAAGATTCCTGGTGTCTCCAATACAAAATTTTGTGATTTCTGGAGAACACCCTTCTGTCGTTATCTGAACCTAGCATTTTTAAAAATTGTATTTTAGATTTGGGGGTACATGTGCAGGGTTGTTACAAGGGTGTGTCATGTGATACTGAGGTTTGGGCTTCTGTTGATCTTGTCACCCAAATAGTGAGCATAGTAACCAACAGGAATTTTTTCAACACTTGCTTTCCCCTTTTGGAGTCCCCAGTGTCTATTTGTCCCATCTTTATGTCTGTGTATACCCAATGTTGAGCTCTCACTTATAAATGAGAACATGCAATATTTGGTTTTCTATTTGCATTAATTTGCTTAGGGTAATGACCTCTAGCTACATCTATGTCGCTGGGTGAAATGATTTTATTCTTTTCTGTGGCTGCATAGTATTCCATGATGTGTACCTGTCATATTTTCTTTATCCACATTACCTACCATAACGAGGATGGGCACCTGGGTTGATTCCATGTCTTTGCTATTACGAATAATGTGATAAATATATGAGTGCAGGCATCTTTTTGGTAGAATTATGTACTTTCCTTTGGGTATACACTAAGTAAAGGGATTGCTGGGTTGAATGGTAGTTCTATTTTTAGTCCTTTGAGAAATCTCCAAACTGCTTTTCACAGGGGCTGAAGTAATTTATATTCCTCCTTACAGCATATAAGCATTCCCTTCTCTCCACTACCTTGCCAATATCTGTTGTTTCTTGACTTTTTGATAGTAGCCATTCTGACTGGTGTGAGATGGTATCTCAGTGTGTTTTTAATTTGCATTTATCTGATGATAAGTTATGTTGCACTTTTTTTTATATGTTGGCCACTCGTATGTCTTCTTTTGAGAAATGTCTATTCATGTCTTTTACCGACTTTTTAAAGGGATTATTGGATTTTGTTCTTGTTGATTTGTTGACGTTACTTATAATGTATCTAGCATTTTACTGTCTATTTGCACTGCTATAATTTGTAGATAACTAATAACTATG